CCAGGACTCTGGGGGCCGGGCTCCGGGCCCGGGGAGGCGCTTGTGCTCCCCGGCCCAGGCTGCTGGGACCGCACGTGACAGAAACGCCGTTTGGAAGAACGAGACGGAACAGTGGGAAGGAAGGCAGCGGTCACAGTGTTGCTTTCTGAGTAGTCAGGTGACAGGCGACTGGCTTTCTTGTGTCCGCTTCTGTATGTTCGATGGGTCTTTTTCCGTCGAGTGTGACTTCCTCATGAAAGAAAAGTCGTATAACTTTAAGATAAAAAGCTATTGAGAAACTTATTTTCTGCGCGCTTTTCAATCGGGAAGGGAGAAAATTGGACTTTTCAGAAAATTCCATTCTCTTAGGCTCGACAGTAAACCCTGGGCAACTGCTAAGCCCTGCAAAGGGTGCGTGTATCACCAGTCCCCAGCCATGGGGGTCCCATACAGTGGCGACACTTCCAGAGAACAGAACAAAACAAACACTGAGCAGTTTGTTGAGGTTTTACATTTTCTGTGTTATTAGATAAAGAAAAAAATTTTAAACTTTCATCTGCTACTACCACCATTTTGTGAAAGAAAAGGCGTTTTATTAGCAGGAAAAAGTAAAGAAGAGGAAATAAGAGAAATCCTCTCGGAATAAGAGTCCCGTCAATTAAACAAATTTAGTTTTTTGGTTTTTGTTTCTTTGGAATGTTTTACTTTCAGTTGGTGAAGGTGTCAGGGGAGGGCACTGGGGACGCTTGCTGCATAGTTTATACACAGACGACATGCGTGCAGCCAGAAGGGTGAGCGCGGCCCTTCTGAAATGATCCCAGGAATGCACGGGGACCCTCGAACCCCGCATGAAGTGAGAACGACCTCAGGGTTACGTGATTCACTTAGTTTTTAGTTTGGGGGAAAAGACAATTGAAACAAATATTTCATCCAGAGTTAAATTTAACTTCGATGGATTTATATCAGTTTGAGAATTAAATTTTTTCATCATTGGTATCAACTAGTACCATTACGATTTTATAGAAAATAAAAGGCCGCATTTTAAACATCAAAATACGTACCGTAAAAGCACGTTATCACTTGTTCATAAAATTCGGTCACTGAAAATTCCATACCTTTAGGTTTTTTAAAAGATCTTTTTTAATCTAACTCCTTGCCTTCAAATAAACAAGATTGTATTGCCATTTTCAGATGAGGGGGCTGAGGGCCAAAGAGATGGTAAGATTTCCCTGAAGATTCTGATAATGCAGACATGTTTTGATGTAGAGTGCTGTTGCTCCGGAGAGAATCAGGCTGAGCTCCCGGGCACCGATGCAGCTTCTGCCCCCCACTTCCCCCCCCCCCCACCGCCCCCAGGAGACGCTGAAGTGACATTGGGGTGAGTAGCAAACCCCCCCCTCCCCCCCCCCCCACCGCCACCAGCAGAAGCTGAAGTGAAGTTGGGGTGAATAGCCAAGATTTTCACCCACAGCCTCCAGGGGCTCACAGAGTCGTAAAAGGGACTGTACAAGCACATTTGTCAAAGTGGGTTATTATTGACCGTGCTGTTTTTGTTTTTAGGAGGAAGAACTTAATCCCCCAAATTGAATCGCTCCTCATTTCTTACACCCTTAAAGCAGGTGACGCATCTACAGAAGACATCGTTCATGCGTAACTCGAACTCGTATACTTACTAGTCAGACCGCAGAGTGCAGAGCCAGCCATCAGGTGTAGAGGACACACAGGTTCCAGAAGACACCCTCACCTCCGACACCACTGGCAAACTAGCGGATTTCCAAACCACCCTCGTGCTCGCTGACCCATCGAAACGCTCACAGAACCCGCTGCAAGTTGTTACACTCACGGGGACTGTTTATTAGATGTGCAAAGGATACAGGTCCCAGTCAGCCAAAGGAAGAAGCACATAGGGCAGACTCGAGTGTGGCCGGCTCTGCTTGACGATGCAGTTTAATCAGCTTCTTCCCTAAACTAAGACACTCCTATCAGGTTACAGAAATTAGCTCCCAGAAGTCAAGGCCAGACCTCTCTTAGACAAGGCCAAATTCTTTACTATTACACACACATGTCAGGATTATAAGTAATTTTAAGATTTGGAAGAACATGTCAAACAGTACAGTGTTTACTTCTGGAGAGGGAGATTATATTAATGGTAGTTAAGGGATACTTAGCTTTATCTGTTTAACTTTTCATGTACAACTTTTAAATTGTTTTCAGACGGAAAGACTGAATTTAGACTAACTTTGGGAAAATGGAAAGAGGCCAAATGCAATAGAATGAAATTCATTATATCCAGATACAAAAAAGTACGCCATCGGGAGGAGTCCGGCTGTTCTGGAAAGATGAGAGCAGACCAGCCATTTCAGGACAGCACGAAATGACCACGTCACCCCTCGATTTGGGTAGAGCGATCGGATTTTAAAGGGGCCTTTATCAGGGATGTGCGAATGGAGTGTACACACTGTTCGAGGAAATCGTAGTGTATTTATAGTGATATTCAGTGTCCTCGTCTGTTGCTGGACCCGTTTTAGAATCCAGTATGTAATCCTTGCTCTTCGAGAATAAGATCTGCACATACAGACGTTCGTCACATTGCGCGTTGGGTACGTGGGTGTTGTGTCGTTCTCTGCATTTTGTTAATGTGTCGAATGCCGTTGGAGCCTTAGACTCCGAACGATGCCTGAGCGCCTAGGAGTATGGGCGTGCTGCGTGGTGCACCTTCCTCTGCGTCGCCTCGGTTCCCAGGCTCAGAGGACGACTTTCCAAGATAGAAGAGAATCATTTTTCCACAAGTAGATAGGGACCCATCTGCTCCTTTAACCTAGACTGCGAGTAAACAGGAAATAGAAATGATTTACAAGAGAGTCGTAAAATTGTAAATGTTTGGTTTTACAGAACGGAGAAAAACATCTTGGGGACAGTTTAACAGTGATTTTCACGTACATGAAGTTTTAATTTCAGAAGTGGTAGCCGGCGGTTTGGCAGGTGGGCGGTCGGGGCATCGGGGAAGCACCGTTTGCCGAGCACCTGTCAGCCGTGCAGGAGCTGCTTACCTGCCGCCTCGTTTTAAACTCGCCCATTTGTGCGGCACGGCTCATCCACCTATAACACGGGGAACCCAAGGCTCTCAGGAGAGAAGGATTCGTGCAGTGCCCCCGTGGTCCTGCAGGAGGAAAGTGGCACACAGCGTAGCACGCGCTACGTGGCTGTAAGGAGACGTGCTCACCGAGGATGAAAACCCTTAAGCACTTAGAATTCAGCTCGTCCTCGTGGTGGGTCAGGAACGGTTCTGCCCAGCGGTAGAGGAGGCGGTAGAGGCGGCGGTAGAGGAGGCGGGCCGCGGGACCTCGCAAAGGTCTAAGCCTCAAGATGCCGTAATTCGGTATTTCGCGATCTCGGATGTGTTCTCATATTCTTCTCGCCTCCAGGTGGATGATATACACGCAGCCGTGATGGATCTGAAAGAAAAGAAGATCCGCATTCTGAGTGAAGAGGCCAAGATAGGGGCCCATGGGAAACCGGTGGTCTTCCTGCACCCCAGAGACTGCGGCGGCGTCCTCATCGAGCTGGAGCAAGCCTGACTTGCGTCTGCAAGAACCACTCGCCGGAGAAGCTCAGCACAGTGTACTGTGGCCTCGAGTCCGCTGCTGCTGTCACTTAGAAGCTCGACGTTAAAGACTAAGTTACAGAAAGAGATCAAAGAGTTATATATATTTGTGGGGGGGGGGCGGTGGAGGATGGAGAGGAAGGGAGGGGAAGAGAGGGGTACACAAAGACGTTAAGAAAGGACACCTGACAGCTGCGTGGCTACGTATTTGGGACACAGTGGTTTCTCAGGGTGTTATGGAGACTTTTTTAGAGCAGACTGTGTAAGGTCAAGGCATTTTGATCTCGAAACTTTTGCTCTTCTGGAAAGACTCGTGTTCACGAGTTCCTCAAAGCAGGCGTTTTGGCTGCCAGTGCTAGACGTGGGAACGGGCAGTTTTATGGAAAACTTGGTGCACGATCTCTTGGGTATATAGATGGCTGAATTTTTAAAAAATCAGACATCGAGAGGGCAGTGAATTTGTAGAGTCACCTATCATTCAAGTGCTAGAACACAGCAGGCCCTAGACGAGGATGTAAAATGAATAAAAACATCGGCAGGAAGCTCATGGTCCGGTGGGGAAAACTACTTCGAAAAATAAATGTAAATGCTTACAAAACAACACGGATGAGCTGGAGGACGAAAAGGAAGGGAGTGTAGGTCTCAGCAAGGGCTTAGAGGCACGCCAGGTCTTTGGTCAGACTCCCAAGTGTAATAGCGATGAGTGCCAAACGATTTCAAGAACCACAGATGGTGTGCAGAGTGCATAGTGTACGGGAAAGCGGTTAAGGTCAAGTTCAGCGATGACCGGATGTTGAGGACGTGAGGAGGTGGGTACACATCGAGCTTGTGGAAGACAAGTATGACACCTCGTTGTACTTGTCATTAAAAGTTAAAAGCAAAATGTGTGACATCGTCTGATGTGGTTCTCACTGTGTACGGAGGTGATATTTAAGATAACCGTATCGTAAAGGGGAAGGACGAAGGGACCTAAATGGTGGTTAAGTGTCAACATGCTACCGGAAGAGGTACGTGTTGACACTGGCGGACTGTGATCAAGTGCATATGTGCAGTCCCTAGAATCACTGCTGAAATATCTTACAAAGAGATACACTGAAACATGTAGACAAATCAAAACGGAACACTAAAGAACGTCCAGAATACCTACTCGAAAACAGACAAAGGGAAACGAGACAGACAAAACAGTAAAAGCAGACGACGTCGTAACACGTCGATAATTACATGAAGTGTAAGTGGGCTCACCAGTGAAAAGATTGGGAGAATGGATAAAATCATGACCCAACCATATGCTACCTACAAGAAATCCCCTTCCAGTGTAATAATGTCGGTAGGCAAAAGAATCCAATGTAATAATGTCGGTAGGCAAAATAATGTCGGTAGGCAAAAAGATATCCTTGCAAACACTCACCCAAAGCAGGCTGGAGTGGCCGTGACATTGGACAAATAGACTTCAGAACAAAAGAAAATTGCCAGGAACGTTGTGTAACGCTGAAAGGATCGGCTCACTAGAAAACATGACAACACGTGAACGTGCACTAAGCGGTAGGGCTGGAAAATACACGAAGCAAGAATTAACAACTGGAAAAAGGCAAATTCAGTTACAACTGGTAATGTATAAAACCACTAGACAGCAACTATATAGAGCCAGACAGTACCATCAACTAATACAGAATGCCCGTTCTTTTCAGGCATGTTTGGGACACAGATGGGCCATATCTTGGGTTATAAAAGAAGCGTTAAGATATTTAAAATAAGTAAAACCATGTAAAATATGCTTTGTGATCATAACCGAATCAAACTAGAAATCAGTAACAAGGAATCTCCAAGAAACTTGTAAATTACACAACACACTTCTAAGTAATCGAAGAAGTCTCAGAGAAGTAAACAGCCGAACGAAAATATAGCATCTTTTTTTCTAAAACTCACTGGAATTTAATACATTGATAATTCAATAAAATTCTCCCTTCACAAGCAGAATAAAATTTGGTAGCAACATATGCAAAATAGTATGTGTGGTAAACGGTGTGGATAGATAGCTCTGAGCATCCGTTCGCCATTTTCTCCCTCATGGAATTCTAACTCGGATCGATGCTTATCCCCCGGCACACCGATGAAGCCTCAGTTAAAGTCCAAGTGGGACTTAACTTCCATCACCCTTGCCAGTGACGGGTCATAAACGCAGATCCGGGCCTTCCAGTTTCCTAAGGCGTAAGCTTAAGAGTGCCGATTTTAGATGTTACTTCCCAAAATATTGATCGCTATAAATTTCCTCCTAATCACTGCCTTTCCTGTATCCCACAAGGTTTGATAAGTTCTATTTTATTTTTCATTTAGTTCAGAACGTTTGAAAATTTGTCTTGAGAGTTCTCCTTTGACCCACGTGTTATTTAGAAGTGTTACTTAATCTCCATTATCGGGATTTTCCAGCTGTCTCTCGTTATGGGTTTCATGGTTTACTGCTTCCAGTGCCTCACACAACACTTTGCACCTGGTGGTCGGTAAATTGTTGAATACATTAATCCTGTTGGTGTAACCTCTAAAAAGCGGTTCATAAAATGTAAAATCATGGCTTCTCAGCCTTGATATGTTTCTTTAACAGCGAATAGAGACAAGTCACGTCTTTACCCTATTTGAGCCTTGTGTTAGGGTAGCAAGCGTATCAGGGAGCAGGTGCACGACTTCACTGCTGCAAGTGAAAGCGATGACCCCAACCTCAGGCTGCCGAGGTTGCTGAATTCAGACCAAATAAGGCCCCGGAAAGACATACCTGTAAGCCATTCAACTTATATTCAACTTATATTTTACGTCCCTTGAAATGTTCTGCTTCTGTTTACATTCCGTAGTGTACGTGAGAACGTTTGATTCCATCTTGTGATAATTAAACTTCCCAACTCGGGGAGGCCCCCTCAAGGTGTTTTTACGGAAAAGGTGCCTGATTAAAAACGTCTGAAGCCCATTACGCTCGCTCACCTCTGCGTCGAGGACAAAAGAACAGGTGGACGCAGGAGGGGCCGCCTGGGACCGGGCAGCCGTGCCGCTGAGCGGACGAGCCTGCGAATGGACGTTCTCACAGAACTCCGGAGAAGCTGCTGGAATCTCTCCACCTCCTGCGGCCTGCCCGGGCGTCCCCCCCAGTCTGTTCAGGGTGGGTACTACGACAGGTGACAGCCGGCAGACCCTTCACTCTGGGAGGGCATCTCGTCCCCCATCTGTCGCACGGGGTCGTTCCCCACACGCCCCTCCTCCCTGCGCCCCTGCCTTGGCAGATGCTTCTCTCCTGACCCCAAAGACTCCACCGCAACTTACCTAAACGTTTTAAACTCACGACAGCTGTGAAATTGGCACTAATATGAACCCCATGTCACAGATGAGGAAATAAACAGCTGGGATAAAACCCCACTTCTGCCTGACCTCCCCAAACTGCGCTCCGTCCACTATTTCTGCCTCCGTTGAAGAAACAACAGTGTATTTTAGGGGAATCTCTCCCCCTTTGGGGCCAAAATCTGTATCTGTCATTCTCTAGATAGTCTCTAAATCCGAGGCTCTTCGCTCTGTTTACATTGACGGCGGGCGCAGAGTGGATGCAGGTACCCAGGCGACACGCATAGAAAGGACTCGAGCAGTCGAAGAGAACAGGATCGGACGGGACGTTCCAATGGAGGGGAAGACCCAGCCTTGGCCATTATTCTTGAAGTCTGGGGTAGGAGACTCAATTTTATTTGCGGTAGGAGAATATACTCTTCCCTGTCTCTCTGCCCAAATATTTTCCATTCCCTTTCTCAGAGCTGTTGAAACAGTACTAAAATCAATATGAACTGAGAGTTTCATGGGCTCGTATATCCTCTTTGGTCAGATACCCATGTTCAGCTGGCCGTTACAGAAACAGTAGGTGTCTCAAGGTGACCTACAAATATGACACAGGGTCCCCAGCATCCAGAGTGGATATGGATGCACCACCCTGCTGAGTTCAAAGCCAGAATAGCTGTTCCGTGCTTTTCACCGGTTGAAAAAGCATTTTAGTTTTATACGCTTATCGTGTACAGAAAGATACCTCTCGATTTCGATTCAAATCTTAGTTGTTTAAAGGCCGAAATCTAGTCTTCATTTTATAAATCGGAAGAACTGGTTTCGGTAGGGGAGCAAGGCTGCCATGTTTTTACTGGAAAAAGTGCCAAGATGCTCCTCTGGAGAACTCGGAGATGATGGAGGAAGAGGGGGTTCCCCTTGGCCAGGCACACTGGTACAGGCCGTAGGCAGGGGATGCGGTTGGCAGCCTTTTCCAGAGAATAAACGTCGTTTGCAGATGCATGACTAGGTAGTTGTCCCCAAACTCCCGTCAAGGGGACTCAAATAGAGATGTCGGCTCGGAGTGGAAAACAGTAATGTAAATACAGTTTTACTGATGAAAAATGTAGTTGTTTGCAAGGAGGCCCTGGACACACCCTTCCTAGTCGCCACCCCGGAGCGCAGCATCCCAGCTGCGTGCCGGGCCCTGGGCTCGGTTCGCTCCTGGCCTTGAGCATCAAGTTGCCTCCCCTCCCCTGTCATTCTATGTTCGTCACATATGCCATTGCCAGCATTCGAGGTCTACCCGATGGATGGATTTTTCATCCTAAATTAATAACAGAATTCTGGCTTATGTATCAGTCTCTGGGTTTGGTTAACGTGTCTGTCTCAATGAGACAGGATCCCTTGGGTTACGCCCAGGTTGGTCTTTTGAGCTGGTAGGCCGGGAGACAGACGGAAGTAAATGTCACTTCTGAGCCTGTTGGCAGAGAACGGGTCGTCTCAGGCAGTACCCATGGTGTGAGACAGCTTGCTGTGAACTCCAGCAAAGGACAGTGGACAGTGAAGTTCGACATCTCGTTCGTGTGTGGCCTTGCCTGCGTCTTAGACAGCATTGCCTCGTTCGAGGGTGACACTGTGTTTGCACGTGTGTAACAGAAACACATAACGAGACAGAATCGAATAGATTTACAAACTCACAGTACACGGAAATTTAGGGACGGCAGTACAGTGAGCCTCCTCAGTTCCCACGAAGGTTCCAGAGGCCAGCCAGGCGTTCGTCTCTGACTTTCTAGTAGACAGACACAAGCACACGGCCAGTTGCAGATTGCGCCTGTAGTGACGATCAAGCCTCGCCAGTCGTCCAAGACAGATTTCCTCATAGTGAGATGTGAGAAAAAAATTTCCTTAGCTTCTTGTAAAGAAGACACTGCGAGCTTCTGGGAAATGTTCTTGAGAGCGTCCCCGCCAGCAGACCAGCTCGTTTCTGCCTCGTACTCTCCACCCTGTCCCCATGCAGACCGCTGACGTGAGTCCAGCAGAAGGCTGTCGGGCGAGGCACTGAGGCGTCTCAGTCCACACGGAGTAAGTGACAACTGTTGTGGACTCTGCTTCCCGGGGGTGCGCCGGCCAGAGAGTCAGAAGTCAGAGCAGAACGCGGGAGCCGAGCGTGTGCAGAACGAGAGAGAAACTTTGGAGGGGGGTGCGACGAGGACCCCCGGAGAGAGGGGTGTTGGGGTAACTGCTGTGCAGACTTTGGGGGGTTAAGAGACTCACTGTGTAAACAGGCCCCTGGCCATGTCTTCTAGAGACCTGCCCCGTAGCGCAGGGGTTTGGAGCAGCGCTTCACAGTTACGTGCTTGCGTACCTCAAAATGTAAGTGTGAAATTTTGTACCTCTTCGCTCGTTTTGAGTCGACATGTAAATTTTTTTTATCCCGAATTCAAATAATTGCAAAGAATATAATTTCTGGGGTGCTGTAAACGTTGCTATTTTAAAAGAAACTTGCATCCATTTTTTTTTACATGATCAGTGGAATATTAACACTGTAGCGATTTGAAACCCTCCAACATTTACTTAAAAAATACCATAAACAAACTCT